GAGAGAGAGGAAGAGAGAGAGAGAGAGAGAGAGAGAGAGAGATAGAGAGACAGGAAGAGAGAGAGAGAGAGAGAGAGAGAAAGAGAGGGAGAGGTAGAGAGAATTCCTACTATCCTTGCAGAGTCTAGAATCACTTGCATTGACATTGCAAGCACACAAGCAAACAATAAAACGAGCAATCTCATTAATCTGATCTGGTCTAAGTATCAGCTGAGGCTTTCATGCCTGTGCTTAGCAGAGCAGTATGCATGGCAAATGTGCTACCACTCACTACACTAAAATGCCCATTGCGCATTGCCAAATATGGATTGTATGAGTAAGGCATGTGAGCAGGCTGGGATCAGGAATGCACTGTTCAACACCCCCCACCCGCACGACCATGACCAGGGGACTGTGTGGGGTGTTCGCGGTACTAATTATGTCATTGCGCAATGCCCTTGTGAGGAAGGAAGTTGGTTGTTGCCCACATTGGTACTCGCTCTTTCCTCGCCGATTTGAATTGACACCTGGCTGAATCACGACTGCCATCCAGAGAACATGAGAAGTCTGTCAAACCTTCGGCTGCGCATACTTCCACAAAATCAGCACTCGGAAGAAGGAAGGAAGGTGTGTGTGTGTTTTTATGTTCTTGTCTGTCTGTCTATCTGTCTATCTGTCTGTCTGTCTGTCTGTCTGTCTGTATGTATGTATGTATGTATGTATGTATGTATGTCTGTTGGTTTGTCTGTCTGTCTGTCTGTCTGTCTGTCTGTCTGTCTGTCTGTCTGTCTGTCTGTCTGTCTGTCTGTCTGTCTGTCTGTCTGTCTGTCTGTCTGTCTGTCTGTCTGTCTGTCTGTCTGTCTGTCTGTCTGTCTGTCTGTCTGTCTGTCTGTCTGTCTGTCTGTCTGTCTGTCTGTCTGTCTGTCTGTCTGTCTGTCTGTCTGTCTGTCTGTCTGTCTGTCTGTCTGTCTGTCTGTCTGTCTGTCTGTCTGTCTGTCTGTCTGTCTGTCTGTCTGTCTGTCTGTCTGTCTGTCTGTCTGTCTGTCTGTCTGTCTGTCTGTCTGTCTGTCTGTCTGTCTGTCTGTCTGTCTGTCTGTCTGTCTGTCTGTCTGTCTGTCTGTCTGTCTGTCTGTCTGTCTGTCTGTCTGTCTGTCTGTCTGTCTGTCTGTCTGTCTGTCTGTCTGTCTGTCTGTCTGTCTGTCTGTCTGTCTGTCTGTCTGTCTGTCTGTCTGTCTGTCTGTCTGTCTGTCTGTCTGTCTGTCTGTCTGTCTGTCTGTCTGTCTGTCTGTCTGTCTGTCTGTCTGTCTGTCTGTCTGTCTGTCTGTCTGTCTGTCTGTCTGTCTTGCTGTCTGCCTCTCTGTCTCCCTGTCTGTCCATCTGTCTGCCTGTCTCTCTGTCTATCTTTCTGTCTGTCTGTCTTTCTGTCTGTCTGTCTTTGTGCCTGTCTGTCTGTCTGTCTGTGCATCTGTCTGTCTGTCCATCTATTCGTGTGTGTGTTTGCCGTTCAATGATGTGTGGTGTTTCTGAAGGGCTCCAATTTAAAACGGGATAAAGACCAAATTCGAGCTTTTTGCTTTTTTTTGTCACGAAAAAATTCGTTCTCACCCCACCCACGGACATCTGTGTGATGGTTTTACCGGTCAAAACGCTATACATCCCAGTCAAAATAAATTCCTTGATGCTGCAATGCAAACCGAAAAAGAACAATTTTTAAAACTCGGATGTTGAAAGAAAGGAATGTAGAAAGAAAAAGGACTCGTATCCATAATATGTCCTTTTCCTTTCTAAAAATGTACTTCCTGAAATTTCCACAAAATGAATTTACCTCCTTAGAAGTTGCGACTTCGGCGGTAATGTCATGAAGTTGGTTGCTCCAACGAGGAGCACACGCTTCTTGCCGAACTTGACACTTGACTGACTCACGTCTGTTTAGCACAACTCCATGAGCGACTCTGACTCACGCTGCTACCTGGGGCTTCACGAGGTGTTTGTCGCGCTGGAAACAAAGCGTCTCTGTAAGTTTGTATCCCTGGTGATGGTTTGGCCTGGAGAGCAGTATATAAGTGGTGCTTTTCAGGCACAATCTTCCTCAGCCTACTCAAGCTCAACTGATGAGGGGTGAATTCCCCGAAACACTGTGTATTGAGCAGGGAGTGGTGCTTTCTTTCAGGTTTGCCGAGCGGAAGGTGCGACGTGCTCCTGGTGTGCTCCGGATGGCAGTCGTGAGTCAGTCAAGTGTCAAGTTCGGCAAGAAGCGTGTGCTCCTCGTTGGAGCAACCAACTTCATGAATTTACCTCGTTTTGAATTGGAGCCCATCATCTCTTCATGAAGGTGTCAAGTGCATATGTTGCCTCGCTCTTACTCTGTGTCCTTTTAGTGCCATTGAGAATAACGGTGAAAAAACTCATTGTCCTGAACAGACTTAGCGAAGCGTGCACAGCAACGGGCTACCCCAAACCAATGCTCAATGTAAGCGTGGACGGAGTAGCTGCTAATTGCGACACCGTGTACAAACTGCACAAAGGAGTGTGGACGAGCATATGCAGGATAAACCTTCGACTTGCCAACGCCACGGGACGTTATCTCCAGATACGGTGCACTGCCAATTTTCCACGCTTTGACTGTTCACCAGGTCAAACACAAAGTGTACAGGACGCCTGTAATGCAGCAAGCGGTTACGCCGAAGTATCGAGTAGGTTCTATATCTCTTCTTTGCATTACATAACATCTTCAATCGTCACTAGATCGTATTGAAATGCACATACTAGTATTTTTTTTAATTTCTATTTTTTTACAAGATAACCACAAACCATCATGGTGCAAACGCCGGCAAAAACGAACAGAGGTGCACATAGCGATGGCAGCCGAAGCAGTGGAGGCGGGGCAAGAGCAGCTAAACCGACCAGAGGTCTCAGTTTCAGCATTGCACATGCGCGCCAAACAGAAAAATACGAAAGTAGAAACAAATGAGCAGGAGCACTACAGAGCAAATGAGAAATAAGTATGTGCGGAAGAAGTACATGTGTGGTCGTGTCTCTGTTGACGACATGTGGTCCTTAGCTGAGGGGTGGCACTGTCATTGAGCGCCGTGAATAGAAAGTGGACTGGTCTTGTCATGCAGATATTTGAGGACGAAGATGGAACGCTTCTGAAAGAGAACCTGTGTCAATCTGGGGAAACAAAGTATCTCGAGAGGAGGGGAGGGAGGGGGGGGGGGGAGAAAGGGGGGGGGGGGGCAGTTGGAACCAGAGTCCTTTGCCTCCGTGTTGCCCTGACTACGGATTTTGACAGCCGGGGGTGTTTCTTCAGGGGCTGCTTGGAAAGGCTGGAGAAGAAACACTTGCAGCAATAAGACAGATGAGCCGGTTTCATGCTGACATGGCAAACTTGGTGCGCTCTTGGACTAGGGGACTTGCCGTGTTTCCATAGCTGTCCTGTTACTTGCATGATCATCCCAGTGACGTGACTGATGTATGCTGGCTAAGAGAGGTCATTGTTGGTGACAACACCCAGGTATTTGCGGGTGTTGTTGCTTCCAGGAATTGGCCTCGAAAACACACACATCCTTGAATATCCGCAGAGTCTCTGAGCTTCGCAAACAGGACTTAGTTTTTTTGGGCATTCAGAAGTCAGCCAATTTCGTCTATCCAATTGGCTAGGCTGAGCTGTAGATGGCAGAGACTTGCAGACTTGCTTGGGACAACCACTGGAGCAGTGAAGGGCAGTTTCACCAGCTAATTCCTGCCCTGCCACATGCCTAGGTAACATGGGTGTTGCCATCAGCAGGGTAGATGACATCAAGAATTTGGCCTACGACACTAGCCTGCGGAACAACGTGAGAACAGGGAACAGTGCCTGACAACTGGTCCTGCAGTTTGATCTCCTGTGTACTTCCAGACAGGTAACTGCGTAACCAATCCATTTCAGTACCGGACAGGGCCGTCGGACATGGTATGGTCACTACGGTATTGACCGTACCGCTAACGCCCCAACGGTTCCCAGTGAATCACGAAAATGTACGAAACTATTCAGCTCAGCCACTCCTCCTTTACAAGTAGATTGATTGTATTTCAGAAGGCTGAATGTAACACACTGAATTGCCATCTGGACACCCCTGCTAGGCCTTCAACGCACCGACAACTACGATTCAGGTATATTTGTGCTCTGTCCGGGCAAGTTGCCTTCATGGCCATTTGCCTTTGACCAATAGCAGCGGATTGTTTGATTTCTTTATTCTCACGTTGGCACCACCGCCAATAAGAGAAAAGTTTGCGAGAAGGTGAGATACTGTGAGTAGGGTTGCGGCTTATGCAGTTTGAAAGTAGTTTACGTCACTTTGAATTTCACAAGTATGGGAGAGGGTGATTTCTTGTTTGAACGCAGGTCTGGAGGGACGAATGCTAGCAGGAAGTCCATAGCAGTATTCCAGGGACGTGTACAGTAAGGAGTCTATACAGTGGGCATTTCTGGTGGGTGGGGAGTGCCAAGTGCAGGTGTGTCGAAGGCTATACTGGGGCGGGGGTGTTGAGCATGCATATGTGTTGTATGTTTTGTTTTTTTACAAGAAACCACGAACCTCGAGAACAGAATACTGCATAATAGAGGAGGTTGCAGACGCAACTGTGGCGGTGAAACTGGAGCTTCTCCGCCGACCTGAGGTCTCGGCTTCAGCGACATGTCAGTGCACCAAAAACTGGGGAGGAGGAGGCACAGGGCCGGGGAGAGGGGGAGCACCTTTATATAGATGAAGGAAAACGGAAAGATGATACATGTGATAGAGTAAACAAAAAATTAAAAAAAGAAAAAAAGGGAACCAGGGTGCAAGCGGAGTGTGGCATGTTGAAAATTTTTGAGCTCGTAGTTTCGTCTTCGTTGTGGAATGGCTGTGCATACATTCTCCTTGGATTTACCAATGTCGAACCCCATTTCTTACATTGCTAGGAGTTTTGCCAGTGGTAGGGATGAAACGATTCGTTCAAATATTCGAGTAATCTTTCGAAAATTTCAAACGAGTGAGTCTTCAAAATTCTGCACTCGACCGTTTATTTTATTATTTATTTTTATATTAATTTTGTAAGACTGGCATTCAATTTTTTAAAAGCTTTTGTTGTACCGCTCGTCCCCTGGTACATGGTGTGCATGCATTGATTTTGCATGCCTTTGAGTCAGTATTTTATGACTTGGACGATGCGATCACCACGGCAAGTAACGTTCGTTATGAGATAATTATGAAAGAACCGATGAAAATCGTTACTTTACACTTTGTACAAGACGTTGGCGACTTTTGTTCTACATGTATGTTCACAGAAAATTTCTTCCGGATTGGTCGAGAACTCACAAAACTATCGCTTTTGAATTTTTGACAACATACTCGAAATAATCGGATACTCGATCGAATATTATGAATGAGTGATCGGTTTGTCCAAACAGATACTCGTTTCACCCCTAGGCGGCGGCCACGATAGTTTTTATCCCTGCTTCCATATGTCCTTTCATCGAACAGCCAAACGAAACTTTGTGGCAAGCCCTACTTCGTTTGTGGCGCGGGGTTCTCTAGTTCGTCACTTTAAATTCTACACAACAACCACATCAACACGTTATTGGCGATGGTGCCATCGTGAGAATAAAAAATTCAAACACCTCAAAGGACCAAAAAACAAGAGAGCAAAGCATTTCAACGTTGCGGTTTTGCCTGGCCTACGGTGATGATGGAGACTTCTACTCGGGAGCAGATACTCGTTACAACAAGCTGGGAGGGAGAGCATGGCGAGCCAAAGGTTGGGATGAAAAGAGCCACATTCTATCTCGAAAAACATCCTTCCTGAACGCTTGCTCTACGTAGATTTTGCATGCCTGAATCCGCAGCATGCAGTGCTAGTGCAGGTGTGAGATTCGCAGAGGCCGTGCACATAGGCAGAGTCGACATTTGTGTACTCTTGGCTTTGCCGCCATCTTGATGAGTGGCGACTGAGAAACACCCGTGAACAATTCCTCGAGGGTGGGGAGTGGGTGCTGTTCGCATTCTGAATGCTTGTTGATAGTCCCGCTATAGCCTGCGCAAATTCGTAATCATCCTCCTGGTTTCTCTACTTGTACCGTTAGTGAGGCCCATTCTGAATGTGTTACTTTCTCAATCACCTAACTTGGGGATGGGCAAGATTGTGGCCCCTTTTCATTCTTGTGGAATTTCTCCAGTTGCAAAGGACAAGTTCAGGAGGACAGCCAGGGATTCTGAAATTTCTGGTGTGGGGTCTTTGAGGAGACGGGTTGGTAGGAGGTCTTAACCTGGGTTTCGTGTGTGTTGGGACCTTGCATAAGTTTCTGGACTTCTTCTGTTGATGTTGTCATGGTGATCAGATTGCAGGTCATGTCAGGCATCATGTCAATGGGCGGGGTATCTGGTGAGCCCCTTGCTGACAGATTGCTGGCTCTGGGAAACGAAGAACTCAACCAGGACAGAGGCTTTGTCTGAGGCAGTAGTCACAGTGGCGGTGGGGGTGATGAGACTTGCTAACCAAAAGTGGGATGAAGTGGACTGCCAAGTACTTCAGTGAGCATTGGCGACATAAAAACCAAGCTGAAAGATAAGTGACAAAATTGATGACGCGGACCAAGTAATATTACTAAGTCATATCTGCTCAACCGATAGCTGGTCTCGAGTACGATAGTATGAGGAAAGACTGTCTGGGACACTGCTAGGCCAGCCATGTGTGATGTGGTGCATGACCTAATGTAAAGTGGGGTCAGCTGTAGTTGCCTTGCTAACACCGGTAGCGGAAAATGGCAGAGCATGACAAGGATCAACATTGACAAACTTAATGTAATCCGTGAGCTGTTGTTCCTGAAGCACAGAAGGCTGAACGGGCAAACGCGATAGACAGTCAGCAACAACATTATCAGTACCATTGATATGCTTAATGGAATAGTGATACTCGGACAAAATAACAGCCCAACGCTGTAGTGACAGACGGAAGTTGATCATGTTCACCAAATATCTCCAATAGCGGTTTGTGATCGGTGTGAAGGGTGAAGTGCCGTCCATACAGATACTTCCTCCGTATACAAAAACTTCTTGACTTTTTTGAAAAGTGTTTTTGAGCAAGAACCTGTTCAACGAACGGCGCCAAAGGCTGTCATCGACAACCCACGTCCATGTCGAGGTTTGTTTGGTTGATCCCGAACTGATTCTCCACGGACGCCCTGCGTGTGAGAACGTTGACGACAGAAATTCAAGAGTCAAATAAAAAAAACTAACACTTACTTGCTCGAAACTGACACAGTGACGAAGTGTAGCTCGTGGCTGGAACACGGAGTCACGCGGCACTTGCTGCCCTGAAACTGGCCAGGCTCATACTTGCGGTGTGCGGCCCCATAGATCTACGCGGCGTGAGAACATAGATTTGTTTCGCTCGCACGGCAAGATGAAACATTTCAGTCGTCGTGCAACCAGCGCAGACTCAGGATCAGAATGTCGATGGCCTGGCTTTCTTCGCCTCTCTCCAGTCAGACGTCTCCTTTGTCGCCAAGGGGAATCGCAGGGACCTCCTCGAAGCCATTGTAGAATGCTTGGGAGGATTATCCTGGCGAGAAAATGCGAAGCGTGTGGATGTGCTTGTACGACTCGTTTCACGGCATAATGGAGGTCGCGGGTTGGAACAACTGAATATAGTCGACACCGATTCGTACACAGCT